AACGAGAGTCTCGGTTGATCAGGGCTATGGATTCGTGGTTCGTGTTCATCATGGTAGGGTTGTTATTGGACAATCTTCTGCGAGTACTGTGAGCCGGCGCCAAATTCCTTCTAGAAGTATCAAAGAAGACGCTTTTATACTGAGATGGCTCTGCTTCGTCTTCTTCATCTTCCTCTTCTTCGATATTTCCAAATGCTGAGGCAGTGTGGCCCATATCGATACCGGCTCGGAAGAACTTGACAGCGTTGAGCTCCATAAGACTGAGTCTCTTAGAGGCTTTGGGCTGGAGCATTTTGCTAAGCATGTCGTGCACTCTATCAGCATACTCCTCGTATTCTCCATACTGGGAAACATCGAAATCTCGTAGAAACAGCTCAGGCGTTTTGAAGTCTGTAGTAAGCACGTTGTAGCCAAGCATCACCCTCGTGAACAATACACCTAGGTCCCAGATATCTGTCTTGATGAGCCCTGCCGAGGGATCTGGGTCAATCCAGGCTTTGGGTATGAACTGGCGTAGGAAGTCTGATGATCTGTGGTACATTGTCAAAACCGTCAAACCGTACCGTGGATGACACAACTTGAGGATCTTGCGCTGAGTAGACTCTTCACCCTGGGATACCGCTAGCACCACACTCAATGGACATAGAAGGCAATGTGGTTGGGAAACATCATGGAGAAGCTCAAGTGTAGGCAAAAGCTGGATAAGCCAGGACCGTGCAAGTGTCCAGTTCACTGCATCGGCCGTCTGGAGCACCTCATCCAATGTTTGTATGCTGGAGGAAAATTCCGAAAGAATCCTGATGGTCCACTTTGAGTGATTCTCCGGGTCCTGGTCGATTTGGAAGCCGTAGACCAACAAGACCTCATTCACGTTGAGCTCCAATGCCTGTTCGAGTTGTCTCTCCAATTCTCTGATCTCCTTTTTGCCCTGATTCGTGGACCAGTGGCTATCATTGAGCTCAATCACATGGAGCAAGTAGCACACATCTAGTTTCTGAACCGCCTGCGGAACATAGGGTGTGACAATGTACTGGGAGCTGATGCTCAGAAGGAGGTTTTTGGCCTTGAAGGGGATGAATCCCTGAACTGCTCTGAACACAAATCGGGATCTGGTCTGCTCACAGTACCCATTGAGCTTATTATCAAAAACGAAGGTATTGTCTAGGCTCGTAGGTACCAAGGAAGGCTCATCCTCGTCGTCCAGCTCTCGCAGCAGTCTGAGCGTATTTTCTCGAGATTCCGGATAATCGCCTCGTAGTTTCTGGAGCTGCTGTGTGACCTCGTGCTCCCTCTTTCTCTGAGCCAGTTGTTCTCGTTGTAGCTGTTCCTGTTCAACCTTCTCCAATTGTTTCCGCTGCTGCTCAATGCGCCGAGTTCTCTCCTCCTCCAAGGAAAGCACCTCCTCTGTAGTTTGCTGGAAATCATCAAGCATCTCCTTCACGTCCATGATCATCGTAAAGCAGATCTCCTCTCCCAGGTACTCCTTGATCACGTCCAGGACCTTATTTTCAATTGAGGCCACCCTGGCCTTGAGCAAGTTCTTGGGCTCCACTATCTTCACCAAAGGCGCCAGGGTCGGGTATGTCGGTGTGAATTGGATATCTAGAATCAAGGAGACCACCGGTCTGTCTGGATTGATGTGAGACAGAAGAGCCACCTGGAAATGGGGGCTCGGGTTTTTGTTCCATACTTTGGATTTGGACGTGAGGTCTGTGAAAATGTCGCCATAAATGGACTGGAGCAGCTCGATTTCATCCTGCTGCCGAGCCTCGTTCATTAATCGGAGTAGTAGCTAACTGGTGATGGTGATGGCTGCGAAGATCCATTGTGCATTCATATCGCACCTACTACAACTAGTCCAGTTCCACAACGCCTTCAATTGTATATTGTTGTGAAATTCTATAAAGGGATGCCTCCGGTGGACAAAATAGAAGGCGGACCGGATACTATTCGGATCCTTCTCACCACAGATAACCATGTGGGGTACCTTGAGAACGACCCCATTCGAGGTGACGATTCATGGAAAACGTTCCAGGAGATTGCTATTTTGGCGAAGGAGCACGACGTGGATATGGTGGTTCAAGGAGGCGACCTCTTTCACGTTTCAAAGCCATCCAAAAAGTCGCTTTTCCATGTTGTTCAGGCTCTCAGGTCAAACTGTCTAGGTGACAGACCGTGTGAATTGGAGCTTCTCAGTGATCCGTCCTTGGCGCTTCATTCAGGAAACGATACCGTCAACTACGAAGATCCTAACATCAACGTGGCCGTGCCTGTGTTTGCCATTTCAGGAAACCACGACGACGCTACTGGAGAGGGTCTATTGTCTCCATTGGATGTGCTTTCAGCCACGGGCCTTATCAACTATTTTGGACAAGTTCCCCAGGCTGACAAAATCACGGTTTCGCCTTTGGTGTTCCAGAAAGGAACCACCAAGTTTGCATTGTACGGCATCAACAACGTCAGAGACGAAAGACTACAGCGGATCATGAGAAACGGCGACGTCACGTTCCAGAGACCCAAGAACGGCGACGATTTCTTCAGTCTACTCTGTATCCATCAGAACCATGCCCGTCACACCCCCACGTCATATGTTCCAGAGGACTTTCTCCCTCCTTTTCTAGATTTCGTCTTCTGGGGCCATGAACACGATTGCATACCTTTTCCTCAGTATAATCCCACCACGGGGTTTGATACGCTCCAGGCGGGCTCCTCCGTGGCCACGTCCTTGACTGAGGGTGAAAGCGAACCCAAGCATGTATTTATTCTCGACATCAAGGACAAGCAGTACCTGCTTGAACCTATACTTCTTCTGTCGGTGAGACCATTTATTACAAGGGACGTGTCGCTTCGAGAAGAGAACTTTGTGGAAGGGCCCTCCTCCAAAGCTGACATTCTGGCGTTTTTGGTCGACCAGGTGGAGAGCATGATAGAGGAAGCCAATGCTCAATACAGAGACAGAAATGGCATTGAGGAGGGAGACGATCAGGAAATTCCGCTTCCCTTGATCCGCCTCCGAGTGGACCACACAGGTGATTACGAAATCGAGAATTCCCGGAGATTCTCCAATAAGTTCGTGGGCAAGGTTGCCAATGTCAATGACATTCTTCTATACCACAAGAAAAAAGCGCCAAAGTATGAGGTGGGTAAAAAAGTCCCCAAGGACGTGACCGTTCCAGAACAAAGCGATACCTCCAGAGTTTCCATCCAGCAAATCCTCACACAGTTCCTTGACGAGTCGAGTCTCTTCCTTATGCCAGAAAACGGTATGTACGACGTCACCAAGAAGTTCATTGAGCAGGATGATAAGCAGATATTCACGGATTTCGTGGAGCTGTCTATCGAGCAGGCATCCCAGCTGCTTCTTGATATCAATATCGACGAGAACGATTTCCATGCTGGTGACGACATGACGCTTAAGCGGTCCTTTGGTCAACTTCTCAATCAGCTCAGAACCAAGAATAAGAGAAATCCCGTGGAGGATGTTCCAGTGACGCAGTCAGACGATATGCTCATAGATACCAAAAATGAGCCAGCACCAGCACCCAAGAAGCGGACCAAAGCTCAGACTTCAAAGGCTCCAGCAAAAGCCAAACCAGCTTCACGGCGCAATGTGAAAAGCAAGGAGGTTGTTGTCTCGGACGAATCAGATGAAGAACCTCAAGTGGTATCTGACGACTCGGAGGTTGAATTTCAGCCAGAACCTAAAGCCAAAGCGAAGGCCAAGCCAGCGCCAAAGAAACGGGCACCAGCTAAGAAATCTGCTCGTCAGGACAACTCCATCCTCGACGACATCATCAGTTTAGGCAGCTGATCTACGCATACTGGGTGATTGCCTTTCATTCTATATATACAAGAGGCGAATCATCTAATCAAAAGAAGCAGCCTCTTCCACAAGCTTCTTCATATCGAATTCTGGATTTCCCGCCGTGAAGTCTCTGAGCAAAGCAAGCTTTCTCTTGGAACCTTCGGACTCCTTCAAACCGCCATAGAAGCGCTGGACATTGAGCACCAAAAGCTGGGCCTCGTCCATAGTGAGCGAAACGTCAGACTCAACCTGACCGTTCATCAACACCACTTCCTTGTCCTCGATCAACTCCTGGTGGAACATCAATGTTGTGTGAGGTTTGGCGTATTCCTTGTGAAGCTGGTACTCGGCCAATGTGGTCAACATGCAGTGGGTGGTGTTTGGACCAGGGAAGCCCCACTGGACAAAGTGGATCTCGTAGCCGTCATCGCCACGTGGAAGCGGCAAGACAAAGTTGGGGTTTTTGAAAGCATTGGCGAAAATGGTTGCAAACTGCTGAGACTCCAAGAACGCCTGGAGGGTTCTTTCCTTGTTCTGGAAACGGGCTCTCCAGATGAACTCCAACTCCTTCAATGGCAACTCTCTGACTTTTTCAACGTCTATGAACGACGAGAGGGTCTTGTATGGTTCTTTGGGGACGGTCTTGTCGATCGCAGCACGGATAGCTGGATTCGTCTCTTCAGCCTGTTTCTTCTTCTTGAGCTCCTCAGCTTGTTTAAGCTCATACTCCTCGAGCTCTTTCAAAGGATCGACTGCATTGAACTCCTTCTTCTTTGCCTCGATCTCGTCCTTGAGCTTCTCTTTCAACTCATCCACATTCAGTGCACCAACTTCCTTGGCCTTCTGCTCAAGCTTCAGCTTGTACTTTTCCAACGGCGTTTCTGGCTTTGTGGCGAAGCTCCGGAGTATGGATGACCGTGGAAGTGCCAATCTGGGCACAAAACGTGCCGCTGTGTAAAGAGATCTGGACATGGTGGTATAGTCTACGATTTTCAATTTTCGGTTATGGAGCGCACTCCAACCGATCTGGAAACCACTAGTTACGGTTGAGCCAACGGGTGCATAAAGAAAGATACGAAAGAAAATATAAAAGTTCGATCGATTACAATTCGGAAGCAAATCTACTGACTTGGTAGCCTACACTCCAATACTCTGCCTGTGTATTCCGGTCCTGTCCCCTCTATACTTTACCTGTTCACTCCTTTGTAGGAGGCAATCCGTTGTCGCTGTTTTCCCACTTCTTCTGAAACTCCTCGGGAGCGTCCTTGGCGTGGTGGCCAATGGTCTTTCTCAAGGACTCGGGGATGTCCTCGAAAGCTAAATCTTCTGTCGTGGTGGCCACCAGCTCACCCTTGGCCTTGAGAATGTCCTCCAAGTTGACATTGTTGTCACGGAAGATCTTGAGGTTGTCGGCGATCAAGTGACGGTTCTTGCACCCGGGACACTGGATCAAGACCGTTCCTTTCGTGTATGACTGTTTCAGGAAGACGTGAGACGATCTCGTGTCACACTTGGTGCATGTAAATGCAATCATGAGCTCCGGCTTTTGACCTTGGATGGTGGCTGACTTGTCTGTGGAGTGGCATCTGATCTGGGGTCTGGGGAAGGAGAATGACGTTGGTATTTTTGGCGCCACTCGAAGGACACTAGGTCTAGATGCTAGTCTGGCCGATCTGAGGATGCTAGAGCGGGCTAGGCGAAACATGTGGGGGTATGAAATGCAGAAAAGTGGAAGTTATGTGGAGATTGCCTTTGGTGCTTCTCATGGAATCGATGCTCTTCGATAGCGTGCGCGGCTCATAAGCGCACTCACTTCCGCTGAGCACGCTCCTGCTTCCGTCTGAGCTTTTCAGCCTTTTTATCTATAATGGGGATACCGAAATCCTCCGTTGGTTTTGGCGTAGGCTGAGCAAGGCCGGTTCCCCAGGAGCCCAGGCCGTTATTAACGGGGTTAACTCTAGGAATTTCTTTTTTGGTAGTCTTTTTCGCCAAAGCTGGGAAACTCTTATCTGAGAGCTTTGGACTGGCACTCACCATAGGAGAGTTACTGCGCAGATTGGCATTGCTAGAGCTGGCAGAGCCGTTCAATGAAGGGAACGAAGATGCTGATGACAGTCTCTGAGACTCCAAGTAAGTTGGTCTAAAGCTTGAATTACCTTGGAAGTTGTTCACAGTGACGGACGGCTTGGGCTGTGGCTTCTTCATTTTCACGTAACGAACAGGCTGATCGTTCTTGACCACCGTAGGCTTGGCTGGTTTAGGCAACCGTGGGAAAAGCTCGTTTTGTGTTTTCTTCAGTTGCGATGGCGCCCACAGAGAAAGCGAGATGGAGCTCAGAGAGCCGTTTCCAAGAACAGGGAACTTCTCGGTCAAGCCTGGGGATGCAGCGTGAGACGACGAAGGAGATGCCGGGTATTTCGATAAATAAACCGAGTGGAGCTGTTGTCTTTGGTCGGAGCTTTGTGGGTATAACTCGGCCAACTCGTAGACCAAAAGAGAAAGGTCCAGCTCGGGTACCTTGAATAAGGCTTCGTAGTCACTGATGAGACGCAGGGCGTCGATGCGTTTGGATTTGTATGCTTGGTTGATATCGGCGAAGCGGGCCATATCCTCTTCGTTGCTGTTGAGGTAATGTTTGGCACGCTCCTCCAACCGTCTTCTTTTGGTATCCATGGAGTCCTGCTGGGGTTGAGGCCGAGGACGGTGGTTTTGGGAAAAAGTGGAGAGCTGCGATTGGTAGCCGGCGCCAATCACCACCCTGCCGTTGTGGCCAGTGAGGCCTCCGTGTTCCTTCAACATGTGAGCCGTGAGGTCGAGATCTTCTCTGAAGACGACAAATCGTTTCTCCACACACGAGGGAACCGAGCACACGTAGTGGAAATCCTTGAAATGCTCGTAGAGGTGGTCGTAGTTTCTATAATATGCCGACTGGCGGGGCTGGTCCTGGTCACAGATGTAGCATCTCTCGTGGGAGTCTCTAATGTGGATGTTGAGTTCGTCCTCGGAGTAAAACTGCTTGTTTCTGCAGAACTTACAACGAGGGTGTCCCGTGAAACCCTCAACGTCACCATCCTGGAGGTGTCGCTGGAGCTGCTTTCTAGTGTATAGCTTCAACTCACTCGTAAAAGCCTTTCTATGGCTGGCACAAATGGAACAGTATTCCTTATTGTGGGTGTTCTTGGTGTGGTCGGCCAACTCCTTGAACTTTGGGAAGGTCTCGTCACACATGGTGCATTTCTGTTCTAGAAGCAGCATGGTGGCGTTCTGGGCATCTTCCGAAGTGAAGCGGATTCCGTACTTATCGTTGATGAGGGTTTTGCTCAGATCCTCAAAATGGGTGTATTTCGCCTCAGGCTCCAAAACTTGATCCGTGAACACCACCTGTGGATGCTCAGTTCGGCAAACCAAACACGTATTCCTCTCATAAAGCGCCCTTTGTCTGAAACAACAGAGATGGCAAGTGACGTTGTTGCATGGAGAAACCGCCGAGTACAAGATGGCCTCGGCACAAATTATGCAAGAGTTTTCATTCGACGGGAGGTTTTCTTCCTTTTTCTGTTTTCCCGGTTTCGGCTTGCTCACACGGGAACGGCCTTTGGTGGTATCATTGGACATTGGTTGTGATCGTGTAGTTGTAGGTGAGAAAATTTTGTATATGGACCGCACGAACGTGGGGAGGTGAAGGGTCTGGAGAAATGTGGAGGTGGAGGTGACTTTGGGGGTTTTTGGTTTTGAGGTTTTGAAATATGGGGTGGTGAAGAGATTTGATGGTTTTTTTGGTTCAGACGGGGAGTCCTTGGTTGGTTTTTATTGGGTGCAAAATGGCTTGCGCTTGCTCACAGTACGGATGTGGTACAATCGGGAGTTTCATGAGACTGAAGGAAGGATGATTGAGAAGTGCATCGTTTGTCATTTTTTTGGTTTCTAGACATGCCAGAAATATGTAGGAGAGAAATATATAATTTGACGTTGGTTCGTTGACTAGTGCTTCGGTTACTGCAGTATGGTATTCAACGCTTAATCTGGCCTCGTTCTACTCACGCTGCTGCGGCAATTCCTTTGATTATTAGAAAACGACTATTCTTTTGATCATTAGAAAAAGTTTTTATTTCCTGTGAGTTTAAAAAGGCAAGTAAAGAAATGTGATTCTAGTCGCCAGTTGAAGAAGCCAAGGCATCCAGGTAGAATCGTCCGTCGAGATAAGTAAGAAGAGGGATAGCATAGTTGATCTCTTTGTACGAACTGAGTCCGTTCTGTGTCAATAAGACTGAGTGAAAACTAGAAGCTTTTATGGTGGCTGACTCCTTAGAATATGTATGTTGGTGACGTAGTCGAGACGAATCTTTCCCAATACATTTTCACTCTTTCTCTAAAATTTAGCAAGACCCGAGTCTGAAGATTTCAAAAAATTCAAAAATTTTACTTCTAAGTGAGTGAATATCCTTGAGCTCTTGGAAGTTGGTCGCTTTAGTATTGCATATTTAAAACCAGGTGCGTTATCTGACAGGGCCATGCGTTTCGCAGCCATTTCTCATACAATGGAAGAATGTTTAAAAGCGACAAAAGCAGGGCAGAGAGAAAATTTTTAGTTTTTGAAAATCCTCAGGATTTTAGATCTAAGAAGAAGCTATCGCCGTTTTAATTGTCTTTCGATGCTAATGAGTCCTCATAATGCGCAGTTCTAGAAGTCAGTCAAGCACACCATTGACCCGACAAACAACCAATCAACCCATAAAATTGAACCTCATATTAACTCATGATTTCAACTTCGCTGAATATCTCAGAAAAGCGTCTTGATAGCTTATGTAAGCCCAATCACGATCCTCCTTTGGTATTCATGCGCCTCAGAGAAGAACTCATCAGAGTGCCCTCACACACCCAATCAAAAAACAACCCATATTCAAACCACCATAACTCCCCAATCTTCCAAATCAGCCTCTATCACCCACCATTCACCTTCTTTCCCCCGCTGTCAAAAATGTCGCCAATCACATGATCGCACCAGTATTATCAACACTTTATCGCTCTCACCAACTACACCTCCACCAATGCAAATCTTCAACGCAAGCGCCATTCTCAATGTTGGAAGGCTCTCCTACAACCCCAGCCTCTGCCTACCGCACTTAGCTGTTGCATCCTTTGACAAACTTCCAATTCCGTTCAAAATCCCAGGACACGAAGAGGCCAACATCAGAGGTGTTGTTTTGGACAAGGACAACTGTTTTGCCAAAGACAAGGACGACAAGGTCTGGCCTGCTTACAACGACATTTGGGCCGAACTTCAGACGAACTACCCCAAGGAACACTTGCTTATCGTTTCAAACTCTGCTGGAACTAATGATGACACCAACTACGAACAGGCAGAGAAGCTAGAGAAGGACACGGGTGTCACTGTTTTGAGACATCCTACGAAGAAGCCAGGCTGTCATGAGGAGATAATGGCCTACTTCGCCAAACAAGGTATCGAAAAGCCCAGTGAGATTGTCGTCATTGGTGACCGTTTGTTCACTGATATGCTTATGGCCAACATGATGGGTGCTTGGGGTATATGGCTCAGCGAGGGTGTCGAGCTCTCTAACAAGATATGGTGCAAGATGGAGAGGGGGTTGTACGATAGGATGGTAGTGAACCGGGATCCTCCAGTCAAAGCTCCTACTCCGGGTGAGACAGAGGTGTCAAAGCTCTAGTCAATTGAGCTACGTTGTGGATGCTGTTTACGTGATCACTTGATGCTGTTTCGCCTGGCCACTTGTTCAATTTAACTTGAGAAGCTTGGTCCTGGAGCATCAAGTGGGGTATCCAGATTTGCAGCCACAGACTGAATACGCAACTCCAGCCTTTTGAAATCAATGGAAATTCAGGATTTCTTGGTAACGTGCCTTTTGAGAATATAAAGGCAGCTCGCCTCTTTTGTTTGTGTCAGACCCTAAGCACATTTGGTGGACTCGCACCATCTTTTTGCAACCATTCACAAAGATACTACTCCAGAATGCCACCTCGTTTCGACGACGCCATCGATACCCATGAAATCTATGATCAACAAGCACTCAGAAGAACTTCGAATAAGGTCTCCTCTGTTTGGCCCATTTTTAACGGCCTCCACCTCTTTTTTGGCTATGCTGTTATGATAATGAGTGTCTTGCACCTTCAAGAAGTCAGTGGAGTTCCCCATTTCTGTGAGGTATTGCCCTTTATCACCTACATTTCTGTATGTTTGCAACTTTACCAGTTTTAAACACCGCTAACCTCAGGCCATTTTAATGGTTTTTTGTTCAATCAGCACTTTGCCTCCAACAATCTTGGATTACAGGCTAACATTGGTTTTCACGACCTACAAGCTAATTCTTCTGGGTTTGTGGATCGCCAGTGCCGTCATAATGGAAAATGCAGAGGGCCCTTTTATCGTCGATCACTCGGAGATTGATGCCACAAAGTTCCTCAAGGGAATTCATCTTGCCACAGCCGTGCTTGTGGGCGTGTGGGCTTTATTTGGGCTTCTTCGTGTGTTCGTCATATCCAGACATCTTCACTACAAAAACAATCATCTTGTGAGGGACCGGAAGGCGAACAGACTTGATTTGGAAGCTGGCGTTCCTCTTGAACGCCTCCAGAGGGCCCATCTACACTAGAGTCTTAATATACATCTTAATTTATACATATAGCTATAGTACAGCTTGCTTAGAAGTATGCCATCCACAAGGTGTC